TCCTCCTCCACTCCTATAGATGATCAGGTACAGTCACCCACCTGTCCTATCGCCTCTCCTGAACCACGAACCCCTAGATTCAGACTCGTGAACCCGAAGCAGTAGACTGATGCATTATTCTGTCCTATAAATGCTTCGGATTCACGAGTCTGAATCTCTCAGGGAGTTCGTGGTTCAGAAGAAGAGGCGACAGGAATTGTGTGGGTGAGTGTACATGATCTCTCTCTCTCTCTCTCTCTCTCTCTCTCACATGCTGTTGACTCCCCCTCCTACACACCGTGACAAGACTCGTTCCACCTACAGTGTGTGGGGCGGGGCGTCCCTTCACATCCTTGTCGACTTCCCACACCGTATGCAATATCCCCCCCCCCCACACACACACACACATGGGTGAGAGAGAGAAAGGGAAAGAAAATAAAGAGAGAAAAAGAAGAATAGAAAGAAAATTAAAAGAAAGAGAGAGAGAAACACAACTGAGAACCGATCCAGAAAGACAAAACTTATAATTATCAAATCCCACATAAAGAAATAGCCATCAACATATACTAAGGAGATAATTAGACACCCAATTAGCCATGAATATCATTAGCATATACAATAGGGACAAACATACCCAAACATGACCTCTCTAATTACTGTTTACAGGAGGAAGATGACAGTCAATAATTAGTTCATTCCGTTAACAGGTTTAAAATATTCGATTATAATTACTTCATTTTGCTATTGGGTGACAGATCCAGTATTGTTAATATTCACAGGAGTACGAAGCCCGATACTAAGATAATCATAAATCTCACTTACGTTCATAGTACGGCCCCCATTATCAACAAACCCATAATTTCACAAGTATACGGCGCCCATTATCAACAAACCCATAATTTCACAGGTATACGGCGCCCATTAAAAACAAACTGATATTTTCACAGCGGTATGATTATGAAAGCCCATACATTGACAGGAATGAGGCACCCGCTGTCAATAAACACACCGTACACTACAATGCACAGTCAGTAACATGACCTATTGATAAAAAGGTCAACACCCTTATCACTAATTACTGTATACCATTAACAGGTACAAGACATCCAATACTAAACAGTCCAAGTCGATAACGGTGACGACAACCGTTCATAATAATTCTATTATCGTTAACAAGCCATCTAGTGGAGGGTGTAGGTTGCCAATTATTGTTTTTGTGTTGAATGAATGACAACTTTTCGCTATTAATGTTTGTGAATAATAATAATAATAATAATAATAATAATAATAATAATAATAATAATAATAATATGATCATAATTATTATTATTATTATTATTATCATCATCATTATTATATTTCAATGAAAGGGGCAGCCAAAACTAAAGTAACTTAAACAAAAAAATTACTCAAAACATTTCACTCACTACTATCTCTTTACTCAAACAATTAAACAAAAACATGAGTGAATGAGTCGAATGTTTCTTGCAGTGGAAAAAATAATCGTAGGACCAGTTGACGTCTGCCATTAATACTGTTGAAATGATACGTGGAATCAAGAACAGTACTGGGCTTCAAAATATCCCTTGACAAAATTATTAACAATAATGGAGGGATCCTACACAAGCCACTGGCCTCCCTCCCTCGGCGTGGCCCCCTCCAGTGGGTGCCCATTAGGTAAATAAGATAACTTCCACGCTATGTATCAAGACACCGTGTGTGTGTTGCGTGCGGTTGTCTTTTATGCGTATAAATATTCAGTTCGTGAGATCTATTCCGTTCAAAGTCGTGTGTGCGTCAAGCGTGTGTCCGTGAACTTGCAGTAATTATCACTGTACACCCCACAACACTACACACAACCTCATAACAAGTTCACGCTTTAACACTTCACCAAACTCTACTCAAAAGCCGTCGTTAAGTTTACATAAACCACAATAACGAGCACTGGAGGCGGGATATGGTCCATTAAACTTGAACATTCGCGAAATGCCTAGCAAGGTCCGGCTGCCATGTTCAACGGGGAGACCTAATTAAAAACATCCACCCGAGACAAGTCAGTGTACAAACATCCAAAGATATTTTAAGAACAAATACTCAACTTTAACATTTTACGCATTAACGGGGAAACGCAATTGTAATATATACGTACTTTCATTCGCAAAATATTACAGAAACACTACAGTAAAGGAAATCAGCACTGTATACATCTTTAAGTTAGGGGGAGTATTTGGCAAGGAACCAAGGGCTGCCATCACCACAAACTGCCTGCCGGTAGCAATGAGTGAGCTCTGACATTATAATAGGCTACGGCGAATGGCAGGTCACAGATCAGCACGAAGGCGGCCGAGGGGTGGTAGGGTGTGTTTGAGGAAGGAGGGGGGGTGAGGAATATAGACTGTTGTGGGAGAAGGGGTGAGGGGGGTCGCCTATACGTGGAGGAATGTGGGGGTGTGGCAGACCTGTGGGGAGGAAGAAGACAGACACGGATGAAGAGATTAGAAGTTGTGGAGGTGTGGGCATGGGTGAAGGTATAGTGGGGGTGAACCAGGCAGGGCGTGAATGGTACGGGGCAGAGAGTACAGGGAACTAAGCTACCCAGTGTTGTGGGGTGAGGGAGAAGCAGGGCAAGTTCACCGGGAGGCTAAGGGGAGGTGGGGGATTAGGAATCAGGGAAGAGTAAGTACAAGGCTCCTCCTCCTCCTCCCAGAAGTAAGGGGGAGGTAAATATTAATGCCACAAGTTCAGAACGAAGCACCATGACTCGGGATATGTTGATTCTTGGGCTGCTCTACACCAATCACCCTGGCTGGTGCAAGCCTCCCGTTCCACTCCACGCTAGATTAACTATTGGGAAACACCACACCATTGGCAAGGTTTTTTTTTCATGTTTATGACGCACGCTTTACTGTGAACAAAACTAACTGTTCATGAAATATTCTTGTTGACACACATTTTGACACTAGCGTCAGTTTTGTTTGCATCTGATCACGAAGTCTCTCACTGCTTCAAAATAAAACATATGGCTCAGAGGTAAGTTAATTATTTGTACATTCTAGTCATAAGATAAGAAATTTAGTATGAATTATTCGTCACTAACGATTTCAATGTTAATTTTAACAACTCGTGGCAAGGCAAGGAAGTTCTGGCCGATGGTGATTCTTGTAGCACAGTACACATCGGACGGCCTACTGGTGCAGGTGTCAGTCACATACAAATGATACATTAACTACTTCCTTGACTTGTTATCTCTGGGAAACACAGTAATCACAGCTGGGAAGCCCCGGGTTACTCCAAGTAATGCTGGGATATCTAGTGGTATCTGCGCCAGGGTACAACTGTATTACATATTTAGTACAGCTGAGGACATTGACGATACACGTGTTGACATCCCCCACACCACAAGCGTCTCGTAATGACTCAAAATATTTCGAGCATCATGCGATCCTCATTATCCAATTTAAATGTAGAATTATCACACCGACATTATTTTCCAATTGTAATTTCCCAATGATCGTGACGTTCTTATGAATTATTAGATAAATTGACGAAGCGCTGTTTTTCTCCCTTCTCTTACCACGCCCAGGCTCTGCAAACCTTTGTCTCTACATGCACGCCCATTTCAGAGCCTCTCAGGCATGTGAACTGCTTACCTATGGTTGCCACGCCCACAACAGCCAATTGTTCCGAATGAAGTCAAACAGATACGACTTCAACCTAGATTACCTAGACCTCATAAAGTGTAAACAGGTTCTGAAGCTGACATTGACGACTGTACTCAAACCTACAAGTACACTAAATTCTACTCGAGTCATTTCTGTTGATGTTATGATGTATTATTTTGCTTTAGTAATTGAGGTATTCAAGTGTGTATCCTTGGTTAGTAAATACACTAGTTATCACCTATAAAAATTGGATAAATACATTTCTGGGTAACTTAAGTCGCTCATAGTGAATTTCTTTTAATCTACTGTCGTATACCACCCACACACCCCTAAGACAGCAAAATCTTCATATCCACGACAATATATCCTTCCCTTGTGTAATTTTTACCTTTATACAAACAAGAATTCATTTGCTTTAAAGTCGTGTTAATATCGTACTCTAAGTTCTCTTTGTTGTGAATTAAGAAATATATATATTTTTTTACAATAATAACAAAATACTATACTACATAAGATTACAACACTTCTCAATTGTTCGTAAAACTTATATCAACAATGGATAGCATACACTCGTAACTCAAGTACCGGTATATCTCCAAAAGGTCACTACCTAAACCTGTTAGAGGCTAAAACAAACACTGCCCACTCGACATAAGACGACCCCTTCCCCTCCCCAAATGAGTGCCATGAGAACAGTTAAAAACGGTGTTCCTCAAGGGTGAGTCGTGAGCCAGAGATAAAGGTCTTTGTTTCTCACTATCTGCTCCAGTTCTGGCGTTGCAAAATCTGCCCCAGCCTCGTCATAGTGACCTGGGCATGCGCGTCGCCTTCACTGTCACAACACACACTCTTGTAAATACAGCAGCACACTTATTGCACAATGTTGGCAAGATATATTCCAGCGGTGACTGAACAGAAACGTAATGGACCACCAAGAAAAATGATAATAATGTTAGGTTATTGTACCAATTTCAGGCTCACATCCAGTTACAACCACATTTTGTTTCACATTACCAATTTTACTATTTATTATAAGACTATGAAAATACAAAAATGTTCTGGTTATATTATCTAATTTGTTTTTTGCCTAATTCCCAATTTATTAATTTCTTATTGTATGACGTGCAATTATACCGCGCGGTCTACAAAATGTTTAGGTTAACTTAGATTAGGTTAGGTTAGTTCAGGTCAAGTTATCGTAGCACCGCCTTTGTCACTTAAATCCTTTACAAAATTTCAAGTCAATGATTTTGCACAAACGAAATAAATACAAACAACACACTTGTGACAACATACTGTAGTAATGACAAGCGGTTTCCACCTCAACCATCCTTCACCATCACAAACACTTCAACTTACTTTTACGAGGGAGACTTCAAGGCGGCAGAGCGAACAATGGCTGGTGCTGTCCTCTTAATCCAACGGGGATGTTTACACACAAATCCTCGAGTGATTAGTGAAATATTCAGCTGCTCCTCAAACTTCCCTAGGCTGAATATACCTTAGGCCTACGCTTCCGCTTGTGAGATTCTTGGCAAATATCACTAGTTTATTGCTTAATCTATTATAAAATCACAACACAAACTTAATTTTCTGATACATACACAACACCTTTTGTCTCATAACAGCCAAAATATAACTGTCATGAATGGATTTAAATAAAGGGGCAGGTTTATTTTTCAGCACGTTATAACAACTGGAAAGTGGGTGTAGAGAGGTGCGTCTGGCAACCACTTCTGCCCGCGGTCAACACACAACTGAGGAGCTGCACGACCCTACTACTGCCTCACCGCTCACGTGCTGCCTGTTGACAATTGCCTCCTTCGTGTCATGATTGCATGAGATATGATGTTATTTTAGTGTGAGTGATGTCATTTTACTCTTTATGTATGATTAAGCTTTTACTAATAAAATGTGTCGGTGATGCCTGCGATCATTATATATATTGGGTGTTTAACTTGGGTAATCGCACTGCAAGTTCAAAGAAGTTATATCGTTTCACATTAAAAGTCACGCACGTATACACATCCACAATCAAAACATACACGATTATGGTGGCCCACATAATGCCACATGTACATTACCCAAGCACACCTGCATTTGTGTGTTTGTCGTGCAGAAGTGATCCAATATTCTACTATAAACAGAAGCTAGCTAGGATCACACACACACACAGCTGCAGGACGCAACCAGTGTGAGCGATGAGCTCATGTTGCCCACAAGACTAACAAACAAATTAGATGCTTGCAGTGTCGGATGTGTGTTGGGTATTCAGAGAGTTACACACGGCAGACTGGATGGAAATGTGTGAGGAAGAGGAGGGAGAAGTCCATTGAAATACTGTAAATAGAAAGAACGTAAAAATACACTAAATACATTATTACTGTGTACCTTAATTTTCATGGTGGTGGTGTACAGTTGTTACGTAGGACAAAAAAATACCACTGTATCTAACTCAAGGAGTTTTAAGAATTAAGTTAAGGAATTGTATCCGCTTTTTGTTTTAGTGTTGGGTCTTTGTACAGTTCTGACAAGAAAGTTGTCAGTACCTAAATTCTTTAGGAGTCCTCAGCAAACTTAACATAATTTAGCGAATTCTTACTGAGTGATGAACACTAAGAACTTCAACACTCAAAGGAAAGAGAAAATCTGGAGGAAGCAAGTACAGGAAACTGGATCATTGTTGAAGCGAACACCCGCTAAAGTGGATGGATGTTATCTGGGCGGGTTGGAAGTTCCGGGGAGAGCTATTGTTTGTAGCAGCCATATACTGTAGTCCGTAACCCTGTGCGGCCTGGCGTGTTTATCGTGTAAAGTTAAATTCTTCTAGTATAATTCACCAAATAGCATCATGCAACATAAAGTGAGAGAGTATACATGTACCGTACATGCCATAGATAACTAGTGTAGCACGGCTGGAAGGACGAGCACCTACAGCACCAACGCTGTCCAGACGCCATTACTGTACATCATACATCAAACTGAGATCACCTGAAGATTATCACCCCCAAGTTTATCTCACCTGATAATCATGCACCCTAGCGCTACCTATAGGGTTAGGTTAGCGTTATGATGGTTAATCATAAGATGATCCAGATACCAGACAAGAGATACAATGAGTCAATAAAACTGTTTCCTCGTCGTTTATGGTTGCATTGAATCGGTCCAAATACTGCCTTTTTTAACAACTGATAATGTTTCTCTCATATAAGATGTGTTTTCAATGACGGCTTAGCGCAGGTCATGAGTTCTTGGTCACACTTCTTTGGATTTTTAGTGGTCTTTATCTATGTAATGAGGTATAATTAAATTCCGATAGACTCGGTTATGTCCCCATTGTTCTCCCGAGTAATGAAGATGTGTTGGAGGAAGGAATACTGTCAGTTTTAAGTAAGTAAATATGAATACAAGGGCTTTCTTGATCAGTAGGTCAGACACACACCACATCTCGTATCCAGCAAAATGCGCCTGGCATGTCATGGAAGCATTGGAGCAAAATACATAGATCTGGTATGTGGCATTGTCATCTAACGTGTGGTACTATCATCGAGCGTGTGGCAGTCATCTGGCAGTGTCACCTGGCCTTTGGCACTGTCATCTGGCGTTTGGCAGTCATCTGGATCCACTTTCACTTCTCATTATACACGAAATATTTACTTATCTGCTTATATTAATGAATTTGGGAAAAATTGTGGTTACCGTTGAAAATAATACCTCCATGGATTAGCTGTATGACATATATCTACTGTACAAGAGAAGCCGAAATAATCATATCAGTTAACGCACAATTTATCTGATTTACTGAAGAAAAAAACACAGATGATGATACGATTTCATGTGCTATGTTGTCTTGGCATAATTTTACTACATGTCACTTGTTAAATGTCAGAGATACGAGATGTGAAATAAGGTGTCACTGCCCTAATGGTTCGCCCGGTAGTGAAAAAGAGGCATCGACTGTGTTATTGAAGAGGAAAGGTAAGTGAAATCTGTTTTGCTTGTAAGAAATAGTTAATGTTTGAGTTTTGAAACATTATATGTTACAAGGTTAGTATTTCCCAGCCTGCACTGGCTCAGAGATCGGAAGTGGGAGAGTGAGTGGATGTGACATTTAGGCAGTCAACGGGAGGCTGGTAGAGGCTATAATAAGTAGGATTTAGAATTCTAGATTTACAAATGTCCTTAAGTTAATATTTTCTCTCAGAGGAGATGTGAAAGTTTTCATAATTGGGTTAGGTAAGCTGTGGCACCAAGATGGATCCTTAACCATTCTTATGTTAACTTTTCCCCAAAATGAAGATGTGAAAACTTATCTATGTTCACCTAGGCCACAACACCAAGATGACGATAAAAATGTCCAGAATTAAGACAGACACTACTATAACTCCATGGATTCTTCTTTTACTTGGAGAAAAACTTATGTACGAATTTTAGAATTTTTGACACATAATAGAAACTGTTGTGAAGATTAATACCTTTACTGAGCAAAAAAATTATCGTGGTGATTGTAAGGTCATTAATATATAAAAGAAACCGGATGCAAGCAGGAACATAACCCTGAGAAACACCATAAATAACTGGAAAAACAATAAATGACTGTATACGGTTATTAGTAATAATAAAAAAAAAAAGATTGGGCCCACAAGTGATAACATCATGACCTTACTTTTTTATATTCATTAAAATATGCAATAGAAGAAGTGGCATGTTTGCATATGCCTGTTAGTCCGTGATAAAACTCCGTTGCATTAGGTTACCTTAAGTTAGCTGATTTTAGGTTAGATCAAGTCGAATGAACTTAAGTCATCTAAAATCATAATGTATAACGACTTGACCTGATGCCTTTACTGAAGTTCTCATTGCGTCAGGTCACAAAAGGTCAGAGGGTGAACTATCCTTACTACGTAGTATACCAAAAGTCTTTTTATACATTGACTTCAGTTCAGCCTCTCTCTCGTCTCGCCTGACTTGTTTGTGTGATTTAGTGTCCATAAAAAGACGAATAAAAAGATCATTTCAACAGTTCAAAGGTGGTACTATACTGTTTTTGAAGGCTGTGTGGGTACAATGTTACTGGTCTGGTGTATCTATGCGAGTACAGAAATCATTACTAATGTGTTTTATATGTGCACTAATGTTAATAGTGTACCTGTGTTATAGATGTTAATAGTGTCTATATGTGCACAGATGTTAATAGTGTCTGTGTTATAGATGTTAATAGTGTCTATATGTTCACAGATGTTAATAGTATCTGTGTTATAGATGTTAATAGTGTCTATATGTTCACAGATGTTAATAGTATCTGTGTTATAGATGTTAATAGTGTCTATATGTTCATATGTTCAGATGTTAATAGTGTCTATATGTTCACAGATGTTAATAGTGTCTGTGTTATAGATGTTAATAGTGTCTATATGTTCACAGATGTTAATAGTATCTGTGTTATAGATGTTAATAGTGTCTATATGTTCACAGATGTTAATAGTATCTGTGTTATAGATGTTAATAGTGTCTATATGTTCACAGATGTTAATAGTGTCTATATGTGCACAGATGTTAATAGTGTCTATATGTTCACAGATGTTAATAGTGTCTATATGTTCACAGATGTTAATAGTGTCTATATGTTCACAGATGTTAATAGTATCCATGTGTACAGTTATTAATAGTGTCTAAACAGTATGTGTACAGATGTTAATGTGTCTATATGTGTAAAGATGTTATTTATACCTGTGTATGTACTGTAGATGTTAATAGTGTCTGTGTATGAAGAGATGTTAATAGTTTATTAATGTGTACTGGAGACATTAATAATATGCCTAAATCCAAACAGAAGATGCTAATAGTGTCTATGTGTTGTGTACTGAATACATAAATAATGTGTAACTGTTTGTGTAGGAACCGTTAGTGTCATTGTTCAGTACAGGAGACATTAACAGTATCTATCTGTATACAACTTTAATAATGTGTGAAAACAAGATGATACTTGAATAGCCTCTCTATACTGTAGATGTGTACAACTACAAGTCATATTTATAGTGTCTATATAGTTACTGAAGATAGTACATTACACATAAATGTTTATAATGTGTACAGATGTTACAGCATCATAATTGTCATTCCCCTAGACCAGAGATGGTAACAAATGTTGCAAATCTTTTTCAGGAACTTTTATTTGAATCCCATCCATTTTTTCTCCCATAATAATAAATAATTTAAGACTAACATCCTCTGTGGAGTGGCAACCCTGAGGCAAGAAGGGTTAACTTGCCACAGTAAAGAACCTCTTGTAATACCCAACCATTCCTGCTTGTTTAACCCGAGTCCCCACCTTGGTAACTGGGAGTCTTAATATTCGAATAATCCCTTCCAGGGCACTACCAACCGAGCCACTCGTCTTTCATGAATACAGTAGCAAATTAAGTAGGACACAGCAAAAGCTTTATTTTACAGGTACAACAAAAAATAAAATTCGAAACAAACTAAATAAACCAAAACAAAATACAAAAGAATATTTATTACGGCATTTTGGAACAAAATCATTTTCTAATGTAAATGGAAGCCAATATTCCAATTCAGTCACCTTAAGACTGACTAAACTATCAAACATCCATATGTATACTCCAAAAGCATTATTTCGATACACCATCCACTAAAAAAAATAAGCAAATCAAGGTAATTATCTGACCAATGTGATGGCATCAAGAAAGTTTGACCATGCTGTAAGGAACACAACTATTCTGCCTAAAGTGACATACAAGTATAAACTCATCGGTAACTTGTATAGACACAGGAGCTCTAAGGTAACTTCGAGTAGTGAGTCTGGCAGTTAATAGAGCCTCATCTTCCCAACACAAAGGACTCTATTATTAATTTAGTTCTTGGACATTGTCTCCAAAGATCCGAGGTAAACTCATCAAAATAGAGTCAAATACTTATGACGGGTTGTGAGGAAAAAAAGTTGTGAACCACTGACTTATGGTGTACTTGGCAACACTGCTTACAGTTCCATGTTAAAATAAAAATAAACACCTTAATGTTAATTGCTGTACTTCACAATAACAAATTGGTAATGCATCCCACACTTTTAATTTTCCAAATCAACTACAGTACATACTAGCAAACTGGTATATTTTGGGTATCATCTAAATGACTAATTCATTTCTCTGCCTCTTGATTACATGATTCATTAAGGTCAGAGGAATCTGCAGAAAAACAGAGAAGTTGGCACTGCAAAGTTCGAAGATTCACTAAAACACAAGTTCCTGTACTGCTAAACCGAGGGACGCTCACCAAACTAATTTTATGGTCACCTGCACCTAAGGAGAAATACAAAAATACAGTATTAGAATTTTACTTGTTTCTGATTTCATGTTAAATATTGCAAGTTGAGGTGAAGCAATTTTCAAAATGGAGTTTCATAATGAGTATTATATTAAAGTAATATTTAATGATTTTACAGTTTCATATTCGACACAAAACTCAAATTGAAAGGAGAGAGAGAGAGAGAGAGAGAGAGATAAGGTTTGTGTGATTCATGCATTTAACCCATTATGTGGTAGGGGTTTCTTTTAGCTTTAGTACTGTGCTGAAGTACCCCCTCCCATACCCTGGGACATTTGTACTGACAGTATTTACAGTTCTATAGTGACAGGAGTGTCTACTGACAAAGAGAAGCACTGAATTAATCTTCTCACTTACCTTCTATAATTTGTGTACCAAAAGATTCTTGATTTCCAGTAAACAATACATCTGGACACATGTCTATCACAAATGGCTCTTCATTGTAGTAGGGATAGGCCGCTGAAGAGAGAAAAACATGATGTGAGAGTAAATATTCAGGAATGCAGCTTATAAATGCATTACAGCAATTAGAATAAATGAAGGGACAGTCTGTGCTTGCTCTTGATTCCAGCCACCCTGCAAAAATGTAGACGAAAAAGGCTTGGAAGAATTAATTTCCTCTTATTATCCTACTTTTGCCCAGGTGTTCCCCAATATAGTATTTACATATATCTATATGCTGTATGAGCAAACTACTATACAACGTACTGAGAGTGTCTGGAGCAGTGGGTGCAAGATGCCCCCATTCACAGAGCTTCTCTAATACTTTAAGAGGATCTTCCAATGTTGAGCACCGGCTGATGTCCTTCACATTCTGTCCTGACAGTCCAATAAATGCCCGACCTCCAATCTCACATTCATATGGATTTGTTACACTCTGCATTGTGGAATACATGGCAGCCTGCAAATGATGAGAACAATTACAGAGAAAACACATGTGAGAATATTCTAATGTAGAGATGGACTTAACCTGTGGTCCACCATGTGTACATGTGTAGCCAGAAAGAGCAAGTTCAGGTGTTATTAATTCAGCACTAAGAAACTTATCTTTTATCATTATAGGTACAGTAATTGGTTGCTGTAAGGGAATGCAACATCAAATTTAATTATGACGCCCAAACTATTCAAAGACATTTTGAAATACTGTACTTCAATATTCCAAAATGACAGGTAAAGCTCCTATCTCCCTGACTAACATGTAGTTATTCCTGTAATGAAACCGAAAACTGAAGAATATGTTCACTATACTGTACTTTCTCGTTATTTTGGCTCTCCCCTCAGAGGATTTTGAATCCAAATCCACTAAATTGTCAGCTCAGTTTTATCACAAGCTAAATAATGTAACAGTATCAGTACTTAATTTGGGCTGGACCACACCAGAATAGTGTTCCAGCACTGAGCAAATTGTAAATTTAAAAACTTCAATAAATACTACCATTAGTACTATGTACATTATATTATTTCTTCCCAGTGTTCTCCTACAGTCCTTGGCAATACTAGAGATCCACCACTTCTTACTTTACAAATTAAGCACTGAATGGTATACTGTATCATTCTATATAACTTGTACAGGAAAAAAATAAAAAATAAAAAATCCAGGTCTCACCTTAGGAAGCATACAACAATGAAGTGGTTGCTGAGGCATTATATGGTTGGCTGGGTCAAACTCTCCTGGCATTACATCCACAGGACACACACTCTGCCCAGGAGAAACAACTGACTATAATTATTTCCCTCTTATCACAGATTTGGCTAATGAACACAAGGTTCTTAGTTGTTAATAGTCCTTATTGTCCTGCTTACACTTATAACATTCATTAGACCATAAAATACTGCATCAGAAAACCAGATATTATCAGTTGTAAACCATAAGTATCATTTTGTATACCATAAAATATTAAAATACTTTGTAATTTATAGTGAAGCATTACATCTTGTGCTGCATACAGTAACGGTTGTAGGTTTTAAATGTTACCTAAAAGTATGTGCCATGTTACACAGAATAAGCAGAATATTCTTAATCCATGAATTCAGGAAACTAAAACTTGAACAGAAGCTCAACAACAAACACGGTCCATTGGCAGTAAACTTATGATCTATTTCACAGAGGAGACTGATACAACCCATAATAAAAATAAAACTTCCAAGAGATATACTGAAGGCTGAGCTAATGTGCACAACACCTTCCAATGCATTACAGTACACAGTTAAAGTAAGACCCACAACTTACACACAAGAGTATTATCTCTTTTCTGTCATAAAATCAACTATGAGAGAACAGCAGAGAAAATTAGTAATGGAGTGTTATAGAAATTATGTAAGAAAAAATAATAAAATATGTCCTTTGATATGGTTAATGATACAGGGCCAAAGGTTAGACAGGACGAGGGAGGTTTCTAAAGACTTACAAGAAGAGAAAAAGGTCAATCTTACTGCAATCTGAGCGAGGATGTCATCAAGTTCTTTCATCATTTTGACCTTCTCTGGCTTCTCCTTCTCTCCTTTAGCACTACTTACTGAGTTACCTGAAACACCAAAATTATTAATGTTTCACATAGGCCTATTGCAAATAAACCAATTAAACAACATAGTCATCAAACATTCATATTGCTAGGTGCCTCCACATCACCGAAAATATATACAGCATGCCCTTCAAATTCGTGGGGGTTAGGTTCTCAAAATGGCCGCGAATCGCATAATTCCCTTTATGTGTTTGCCCTTAGGACAATTTATTTCTTTTACCTGTATTGTATATGTGTGTGTGTCTACACACACACATACATATAATATACAATACAGTTAAAGGAAATTACCGTCTCTAGAACGAATGGCTAACTGTCCCAGCCACAAAAATGCCGGCAACTTTAAAACTACCCGCAGACATTCTTGGGTACATCCAGGGTGTCATATGTGCATACCTTTGTGATCACAGGAGTGGAATGAATATCCTTCATCAAATTCATGTAATCTTTCCCCTATACAGTAATTAAGATGTGACTACACAAGCATGAAAAATGGCTGTAAAACAATGATGATGATGATGATGATTACAGCAAATGAAAGTTCTGACCAATCAGACTCTGCAATGTTTACATATCACTCCAGCCATAACAAACAAGGTCTCAACTTAGTCTAAAGACAATATTACTTAACTCTAAATCATTCAGTAAATCCCTACCTCAAAAATTTAATTTCTAATTCTACTGAACATGATGTAACTTCCAAGAAAATTGTAATATCAAAATGTTACTGATTAATTTGCTTTCCTTGTTAGAATTCACATAAAAAAGGGGACTACATGAAGAATAGGCACCCCAGCACATTTCACCTGATAAAATACCCTAATGCTAATGTAACTTAACCCATCCAGGTAGAATTAGGGTGTTTAATCATCAGGTGAAATAGGCTGAGGTGCCCAGTCTTCACATGATCTGAAAAAAGTTAACAGATAATTAATTACAACACCTGCAATGATAACTCTGGAGACCCGAGCTATAGCTGCCTGCTCTTCAGAATGTCCCAAGTGGCCAGTAATGTAGTCCACCAATAGTTCTAAGGTCAGAAGACTATCAACCGATGAGCTCAGTTCCAAGCCAGACACCATCATTACGTACCTGCTCAATCATCAGAAAGAAATGTGTTTCAAAGCTAATTCAAAAAGTCAATCTATATCCCATTTACTAATCTATGCAGAATATCTCAAATTCAAATAAATATTGTTATAAAAGAGGTACATATGTGTGTACAATAAGTAAAATGGTTGCCAGAACTCATCCATAACCTGGGGAGTGTCTGCATATGTGGTTAAAGGTAGAACACAAAACAAAACAAAATTAACATCTAAAACTGTTATGACTGGAATACCTGGAGAAGCATAAACACACATGATAGTCTGTCTGTAAGAGGAGATGCAGCATGAAATAGGTCTATACAAAAATAATTAACTTGGATATGACTCTGGTGGAATATTTTCTTCTAACAAAATTTTTCTATCTATACAGTACAGTATAAGCAATTGGGTTATGTTGATCTACAGTACAGTATTACAAAACCAGTCTACAAGACATAATTGTTACCTGTCTTCACTAACAACGTCACGAGGAACTGGATCAGGCAGACCAGCAAAGCATAGATCTTCAACTATAAATTTGCCCCCATCTCCTTCCTTACCTAGCACAGAACAAACCACACCTAGAACATCAAATTAAAGAATTATCAGTAGTGTACCAATCTCAGCATCCACTACAAACAAATAAAATATTAATACGTTTTACTCAATTACTTATTTAGTCATTTTTGTTGATCACTAACATCCTATAAAACTTCTCAATAGTGTACAAAGTAATGGAAACCAAAATAAAATTTGGAGGTAAATCTGCAATATCAAGATTCACTTGAAATGTATGTGTAAAGTTCCTGAATAGCATAGGCCAAATATTAAACCTTTACTAATCTACTGTATGTTAAAAAACAATAGCTTATACACCTATCAATTACCTTTAGTCATCTCCCAGCTATGTGTGGAGTAGATCAAGAAGGAAATAATAGTTGGAGGGGAAAAAGGTACAGTAATTGTGTACAGCAAAAGAAAAAGGCTAAGACAAAATGTAGAAATATCCACATCCTGTATATAGAGTAAAGGTGAATTATAGCATAATTATTGATTCATAACCATTTGCATAAATTTGCTATTCAAACTAAGTTGTCAAGATTGTTCATGTTACCAATGAAATGTTACATCTGAAACAAGTCTACTAGTCATGACCCATAATCATTCTTCACATACACTATTTAATATAACATATCCTAACCTCACTAATTCACCTATCTAGTCTGGCCAACTTTTTTCTTGGCCTTACTCTTGCTATCAGCCACATCCTCATAAATCTCTTGAACCAATCTTTCACATGCCATCTTAGTATACCCCTACACGCTCAACCCATCAGTACTTTTATGACCCTATGTTCTTACATCTTCATTCATTACTCTATCATTTCTCCAAACTCTCATAATGCTTCAACAAGGAAATGTTACCTGTTACAAGATTTGAGATGTCAATATCCCCCACAAGTTGTATTCTCTGCACTTCATCCTCAAGAATAATATCATCACCTTCACCTACGTACTTTTCAGCAACTGGTTGTGGCATCAGTTGGTGCTACAGGAAAAAAATATATATACAATATTAATATTCCTCATTATTTACGACAGTGTTTACTACTTTCTAAAATCACAGTCAAAAGTAGAATTACAGTACCAGAAATCGGTAAAACTACCTATGTCTTTTCCTGGGAGTGACATTTAGGATTACTCCTGAAATTCCTTCTTCTGGTGGAGCCTACAGCAGTGTAGCTCCCTTAATATTGGGCTACTAACTAAATTTTTTTTGTGTCATCAAACAACACACTAGAATGTCACCCAAGATTTATCATTTAATCCGGTGGATATATGAAGCCCCCTCCCCTCTCCATCACAGTGCCCCAATATATGAGGGAGAATTGGGACAATAGTTGTCCTCTAAATACTAGGAAACTTTATTTCAACTAAACCTGCATAATTAGCTCATAACTTTCTACATACATAAGTTCCAGATGATTAATCAAGAACCAAAGCAGGTAAGGTTTCCTAACTAGAGCCTACTTTGCTAAGGGGAATATAATTGCAGTAATGAATGGCCTGCCCTTATTTTTGCAGTGCATAATGTATTTAAAACTGGACAATTTCACAAACCCTTTACAAATGAGTAAAGGGAGTCCCATAGACATGACTGACTATAAGGGACGGTATGGATACACCACACGTAATAAGCTACCAAGCCTAAGGTACACAAGGAGGCAGCATGGCCAGCACTGCATTGCCTTGCCTTTACTTCTCCAACTGTAAAGTTAAGTACAGATTTACAATAACCCTTAGGATGGGTGATGAGCTACATATCCACTCAGTAGCCATACCCCTTTAAGGATATAACTGTGCATAAAGCTGTAGGTTTAGTGGAAGACCTCCAAGCTTCTCTAGATTCTGGAGGTAACTATAGCCCAAAGGTACCCTTATTTATGAGGATGATGTGGATAAGGGTAAGGTATATCCAAATGAATTTACAGATCAACCTGCACTGATATTTTGGAGGTACAGTGTATGTATAGTTCTGTAATGTGATATAGAAACCACCAGTTAATAGCACTGTACAGTATAGTATAATGAAAGGTGCCTGGCTTCTGGGCAAATTTCTAAAATTAACAGAAATTGAAATGTAGTTGTCTCATGCATAACTAAAAATATACTCACTTCCTCAGAAATTTCCTTGAGTATAGATGGTTTGAGTTCCTGGCGCTTAAATAATGTTCCAATAATAATGCATCTTCCACAGTATTCATTCAGCTCATGCAGTCGCTTAAAACAAACATTTTCTGAAAATACATTTCTCTTAAATATCTCATGCAAAACTTTACAAGCAATAATAAATGAACCCAGTACAGTACTGTATTACAATTTAGAACGAGAGTGCAGTACTGCTTCAATACATAATAAATTTTGTCCTTGCCTATTAATGATGTAATATATTTTAGTTCAGTTAGGATAGGTTGGATCATCATCTCTTGGACAAATCATATAATGTAGCAGTCACTGTAAACATTCATATGTTAATACAGCACTCTGAAACATCATAAGATAATCAGGAACTTTACAAAATATTTCCTTATTAGATAAATTCTTTCTTAAGTCAACAAAATCACATAACATGATGAGGATTTGCAATTGTTGTACAGTTTTATCAAAGTTGTGATTTTTTCCATCTTGAACACATATACTGTATGTCGACCTGGCAAAATGATCTTCACTGTTGACTTGACATTTTATAGATACACTTCCAAAATCTTGCCAACTGCTGTTACATTATATAATCTATTGGAAGTTGTCCGCAGTCATATTCCTTGCCTCTGTATTATTGATACATAATTTGTTTTAGTATGCCTTATTGTGGGTAAAACTAAATATATATTAAATGCATCCTCCAAAAGTGTGAATTTGCTACCAGAGTTTAACAGTTAATTCATGTACAGTATAAGATTTCTGAAAATTTTCCTACGCGCTCATGTTTGAAATAATAAATGTATGTATCTGTTCCGTATATAATTTAGCTAAATATCTTTCTCGTCAGAAACGGTCATCCCAACGATTATGAATAAACTCATTTAGAAATGCATCATTACTTCAGGACAAAATCGGACAGGTTTGCAACAGCCAATCCGCGGGGCATCTCCTCTCAGCTGGGAAAAACTCACTGTAGTATCTGATTCTGACTAACCTAACCTAACCACACCTAACCCAGCATAACATAACATAGCCATACAGAACCTTCCCTACCCTAACCTAACCATTAACAACAATCCATCAATACGGCTACTGTAGTAATATACACTATGAAATATAAGATAAAAAAAACCTCTACCAAAATTAATGGTTATACAACTTACTCCACTTGTTGCTAGCCCTGGCCTCCACCTTGGGTCTCATCTTCTCCAGCCTGGCGGTGTACATCATGCAGTACTGGCGAGTGACATCCTTACTACACCATAAGGAGTACTTCTTGGACAGGTTCTTGTAGCTCACACCACACCTATCTGCCCGCCCTCCCTCTTCCTCCGTCGGGATACTCAACAGCACCTCAGACTTTACACTATGATCAAAACCTTCAAGAATCATCATGTAACAATTAAATGTACACTAAATGTCAATAAAAGGATGAGTATATTATCACCACATACACTGAGGTTCCTTCTTGGCGCGTATATGACCACTAACAACAACAACCAGCAGCTGTGTTGTACGGGGCTACATAGAACAGTATACATAATACAGTATACATAATACAGTATACATAATACAGTATACATAAACATAAATATTCATGCATTCATTTTATTTTCATCATCATACACTTTTACATTAGATCAGTATGTACTGTATATTAACAGGTATGCATGTACTCGTACCTTGACAATGTGGATATTATGTAAATAATTCATATATCAGGAGTGAACTCGTAACAATGGTTTTAAATTAGACAAATTTAGATTTAGGCGGGAAATAGGTCATCACTGGTTTGGGAACAGAGTGGTGGATGAATGGAACAAGTTACCAAATATCATTATTAACTGGAATACGCTGGGTAGCTTCAAACATAGGTTGGATGGATATATGAGTAATAGGGGTTGGGTATAAACGGGACTGCCCAGTATGGGTCAATAGGCCCGCTGCAGTTCCTCCATTCTTATGTTCTTATGATAGTGCCAAACAATTTGTTTGAAACAAATGTATTACTGATATACACATTGTGTGCTGGATGAATAACTGAATACCGTCTTATCATATTATCACCAATTCACCGTGATTATCATCGTAGGCAAGAACTTGCTGGTCACACTGACTGGGCTGCTTGGGCATTGGTGAGGTGACTGGCAGTGTGCAGACAGTGGCACTCACTCGAGGACTGGAGTATGTGGTAAGAGTAGCATCGTAGGTCATCACAGTAAGTTGTGCGAGTGTGTTTAGTTATATATTGTGAGATAAGATTGTTGTGATGTAAAAATCAGACAGAACAACCCGCAGGTTATGTCATGTCAACTGTGGTAAGTGGAAACAAACGTCTCCAGCACAGAGGCATGTGGGGTCTTCGGTGATGTTCTGGATGTTCCCGGCAGGATTATCGTCTATCAGTGATCCAACGGGAAATGGCACTGAAGAGTTTATTTTTATGCCTAATACTCTAAATTTTCTAATGGAGCCATGACCTTCGTGCCGTAGATATAAAACAAGAAGTGGGCGTTTTACCCCTTGATTTATCTTGTAGTGGATTCCTCCCCTGTTTGTCGCTGAGTAGCCGATCCCGGTCCGACTAATTACCCAAATGTAGCCGTAATGAAGTCAAATAATGGTCCTACATGAATAAATCGGACTGCCAATCACTTCTCGACTGGTATTTGGTGTCACGAAGTCACAAAAAATTGGTGACTTTATGACACCAAATAATAATCGAGAAGTGATTCACAGCCCAATTTACGCTTGTAGGATCATCATTTGACTTCATTGCGACTACATTTGGGTAATTACTCGCTCCCTCGGTACATGCACGCGATCTATTAACTCAGATTAAAGTAAGTTTTCCAATTTTTTGTGACTGTGACACCAAATACTAGTCGAGAAGTGATTGGCAGTCCGATTTATTCATGTAGGACCATTATTTGACTTCATTGCGGCTACATTTGGGTAATTAGTCGGACCGCGCGAATTCCCCAGTGTATGTCTCGTGGTCTAGGTCAACCAGCGCCGCCTTACATGACGGGGGTCAACTATTAAGCCACGCCTACCTCCGCTATATAAGACCTGACCTCGTGGTGACCCCTCTCTTTCTACCTACACCAACCAACACCTCCTCCTCCTGCCTGGCGGGCGACCATGGCGACCCACAAGCTGGTCCTCCTCTGAGCACCCTTGTGGGGTATGGGATTGTTGGTGTTCACTCAGGATGGAATGGAGAAAGGAAACTCACGATGTGCTTTCTATATACATGTTGTATTGGATGTACAATGCAGCTTGGTGCTGGGAAGGCAGCATGGTTACAAGCGTGATGTAGAGAGAGCTGGTTGGTGAGGACGCTCAGAGAAGGACAGCTTGTGGGTCGCCATGCTCGCCAGCGGGAGAGAGGACCGCCAGGCAGGCGAAGGAGGAGGAGGTGTTGCTGGCTGCGGCTGTAGGTAGAAAGAGACAGGTCACCACGAGGTCAGGTCTTAAATAGCGGGGGGTAGGCGTGGCTTAGTAGTTGACCCCCACTCTGTGATGTATGGCGGCGCTGGTTGACCTAGACCACGAGGCATACACTGGGGAATTGGCGGGGTTGGCTACTCGGCGACAAATGGCGTTTGTAGGGGAGAAATCCACTACACCCTCACCAACCAGCTCTCTCTACATCACGCTTGTAACCATGCTGCCACTTCCCAGCACCAAGCTGCACTGTACATCCAATACAATATGTATACAGAGAGCACATTATGAGTTTCCTTTCGCCATCCCATCCTGAGTGTGAACCAACATCTCGTACCCCACAATCTTACCAGTCAATGACAGATGACTGGTTCAGCACTAAACAGGTTTAAATTAATCCCAGTAGAATTAAACCCTTAAAAAATCATCTGTGACCATTACTTTCTTCACAGGAGGGAAAACATTGGTTATTTCCCCCCATTGTTCCTGATGAGTTTCTTCATTACCCTCTGGTAGGCTATTTGTACAGGAGGGAACGACAGTATTTACCTGGAGTTAACCTGTGATGTTTGGTAGAGTACCATTGGGTTTCACCATTCTTGTATCATTCCCTGGGATGCAGTGATGAAAGGCAATCATATTAACCACTCTCCCATGAACACTACTCAAAGGAAGCAGCGTCCATCAATCTTGCCAGAAGTTGCATGAGACTGTCAATAAATTATTTATAAAAGATGATTGCTACACATTAAACTAACCTAACCCTATCAATCTAACCAAACAATCTTAATCTTTTTTTATGGGAATTAACCCACCTGGGCACAAGGTCGAACGACCTACAACGGAGCCCAGGTTAGGTTGCTTTAGTAAATGACATCCTTCATAAATAATATAATGCAATACCACAGCTAACTTTGTTATTTGTGTGCATAATTAAAAAGCTTTTAAGTAAGTTCAAATTATTATTTCTAATGTTCAATACTATTTCAGAATTTAGGTCTTGTAATTGTGCAAGGAAAAATTAGGAACATTACTAAATATGTTAAGACAAAGTACCAAGTCTTCAGTACAGTACAATATACATGTACAGTACAGTACACAGCGTTACCATCCTCCTGTTGATTATTAAATTAACAACAGATTGCCGCTGAAAGAAGTTACAGTACGAGAATGCTTTGTTTCTAAAAATTTTCTTTGCTTGAAAATTGGATGACAATCTTACTTTTGTTTTAAATGTAAGTACAGTAATGTATGTATTGTACACTACTTGGATACACATTAAAGCTAAGAATATATAGAGTATAGCTGTAAGATAAGTGCAGTAAGTTTGGTAATTTTTATAGAAATGGAGCCAATCCTTAGTACTGTGAACTTAGGGAAATTGCCAGGATTATTAATTTTCGAATTTTTACAGTACAGTATTCATAATTCAGTGGTGGATATTTTAGGCTATAAATCGGATACAGTACTGTACTCCCTTACCCTAACTGTGGGTAGAATGACAGAAATAATGAGTAAGATAAAAAAAAGTTTCTATGTTAGGTAAGAGTTAATTGTTTTTTTATCCCCATACTTTATAACCTTCCCCACTAACATTTTTTTTTACACAGTTTGGTAGTTATATGTTTGAGTATGGTGGTTGTAGTATGGTCACCATCTCACAATGATTACCTACCGTAAGAACACTAAAAATCAATGATCACGGAAAGTTTCTTGTTGAAATTCAAAATACGTACTAAGGGTTGGACACCTAACCTACTCATTTATCCTAAGTTTTTGTACTGTACTTAATGTATCTTCTTCACAACTTGGTTATTCAGTTGACTGTCATTTGTAATTTACTGTACAATATTCTCGTTTCAGTGGCAGATCGTATGGCCTAACCTTTTAGCTGATGACATATTATCAGTAAGTTGTCTAGTCATGTCTTCTCATAAGGTCATAAGGGAATCCTTTGTGGAAGAAGCTTTGAGACTGGACAAAGGAGATGAAGCTCAGTTGTTATCTTGGACAACAGAAGACATCAACAAGAAGGGTAATAACTATACCAGTTTTATCAGTAGTGTCACAGTCAAGTATTGTAAAGCTACAGTTAACCAGGAAGTGACCTACGTTGTAAAGCTGAAACCACAAAGAGAAAATGGATTACCCTCTGAGTTTGACAATTTGGTATTTAACAAGGAAGGGCTATTTTACACTGAATTACTGTCAGAAATAAATGCAGAACTCTCAGCTGCTGGACAAAAGCCTCTACTACTACCTTCTTGTTACCATTCAAGGTGGGAAGAAGGTCAAAATCAGCTATTTCTGGAAGATTTAAGACCCAGGGGGTTTAAAATGTATGATCGTACTAAGGGTTTGGATGTCCACCATGCAATTCTTGTTCTGCAAGAGTTGGGAAGATTGCATGCTGCTTCTCATCAGCTACAAGCTAAAGCACCAAAACAGGATTTGACCCAGAAATTTAAATTCCTTACATGGGAATGGTTTAATTATTCAGAAAGAACAAGAAAAGAGTTTGATGCCCTGATTACAGGTTCCTTGACGGTTGCCTCAGGTCTGGCAAAGGCTATAGGGTACGAAAAAATAGCAAAGTGGTACAAGGATGTCGCTCCTCGGGCTATGGGTGTAGTAGAAGAGCAGATTGCAAGTAGTCAGTTTGATGTAGTATGCCATGGAGACTGTTTCACAAACAACATGATGTTCAGGTTAGTGTTGAGAGTACATTACTATACTGTACTTAAAATTACCAGTACAGGTATTAGCAAGTTGATATTGTAGTGTGTTTGACTTTTCTCTTTAGTTCTTTATAAATACACACTACGGTATGGTGATGCTCAAGTACTAGCAGATGGGAAAAGATAAACTCTCATTGTACAAAAATAAAGTTTATGGAATTACAGTGAAGTGCTGGAAGCTGCAGTTAAATCTGGTGCTGGGAGAGAGGTGTTGCTTGCTGAGGCTAGAGAGGAATGATGTAAAGTTAGCTGCTGCCGTGCAATTTATATAGCCGAGTGGTGGTCTGTGATTGGTCTAATGGCATTGTGCCCGGCTGGTCCGATAGCCAATCAGCGTAATGATCAGGAGAGAGTGCTTGACCGTGATCTCGCCCATGGTTGGCTAACTGCTGATGCCAATCAATGTATGGATCAGAAAAGAGTGCTTGATCTTTAGATTTTGTAAGGTGTCCCCTACAATATATTCTAATCAGTAGTGCAGAACAGTTTTGTGATCAATTCTCATTTTTATTTTTATTTGCAGAAATATATATGTACTTTACTGTATACTGTATGTAAATACTTGTTTATATATACAGTAGTATAGCAATAATATCCATACATAGATACTGTATACAGTATATATTTATCCAGTAAAATTGCTATGCAGGTTCACATTAGTTCATTATGTAGAGTCAAAGAAAAAAGTTGCACCCCATTAGTGTTATACAGTACAGTATTCCGAAATCCATGACGAAGAATTTGGGCAGAGAGACAGTGAAGCTTCGAGATTCGAATCTGAATGGGAACTTTACCAAAATTTCTTTGTCTTGAGTTTCAGAACATTAGGCACAGTAAGTGTAATGTGTCTTTTTTCTTTGACTGTATTGTACATACATAGACAGTACAGGAACACTACTGCATGTCCCATATCTATCACCCGTAGTCCCATAATGTTTCACACAGTGGTGTGTGGACAGATACTGTACATTAGGTGTTGGTAACTACGGAAGTAAGACACGGGGAATATAAGTGAACACGGTAGTGATAATTAAAAATGCAGTGAGAGGATGACATTTTGAGAAGATAAAGCCTAAAGCGATATTGGAGGCAGAAAGAATGCATAAATAAGGGAGATAGGACAGAGAAAGACCAAGAATTATGTGTAAAACTAGAATGAGGAAGTACATCATGTGATGCTTCTAACTCTATAGAATTTTGTTTATCTGTAGTAATATAGTACAGTATGAGGTAGGAATTTTATGAGATTGGTTATTGTACTGCATAGGAAAAGATATAGGGTATGCATGATCTTATAATTTTAGTATCTTAAGTAGGCATACAGTATATCCCTTGTATTTAGGCAGCAGAAAAATCTTTTTATTTTACAGTACAGGTATTAATGACCTGTATTGTTTTATGCCACAGATACAATGAGGAGAGCCAACCAGTGGAGGTGGTACTGTTGGACCTGCAGATATGCCGCAAGTCATCCCTTGGCACTGACTTAAGTTATTTACTTTTCTCAAGCATTGATGAACCAGAGAGAACTGGTAAACTAGAGGAATTCCTTGGTCAGTACCATGCTTCCTTTAAAGCAGTTATAGAAGGAGGAGGCACAGTCATGCCCTTCACTCTGTTAGATATTACAAAAGAGTTCCACAATAAGTCTGTATATGGCTGGATAATGTCATCATTTCTTATTCCTATTCTTGTAGCACAGAGCCATGAAATCCCAGATTTTACTGTTGCCACAGATGGCCATATTGAAGACTTTATTGAACAGCAACAACAAATTTTTAGTAAGATGTTACGGAACAATCCATTACTGAAGCTTAGACTTGCTAACCTGTATGAATCCATGGACATAGAATAATGAGCTAAACTTACTGTACAGTATTCAGGTGAATGCTCTTTATTCTAGATAATCAATTGACAATTTACTTTATTGGTAATTGGAATATATTTTTACATTAATAATGCAGCAGCTCTTTTTCTTGACAAATATTTCACAAGTACAGTAGTTTTATTGGGTAGTATCAACACATTAACACCTAACAAAATGGGCATCATTAACAAGCTTGAAGATGTATGATGGTAACAGAGACATGGGGATGGTGAGGCTATGACAAGTGTCCCGGGTTAGTATATCTTTATCTTTCCTCTGCCATATAATTCAACCCTTTGTTTTATATTTTCTAAACTACAGGGAATTTTATGCAAATTGTTTGATAGATGTCATATCATATTAATCATATACAGTACCTGGTACTGTAGACTTTTCATGGTCTTACAGGGATGTTTGAAACATTTTCATTTCCAGGTCTTGGGAATATTTAAACATTATCAAGATTGCAAGTCTTTTCAAGGCCCAAATGAATCTTGAGTCTATTTTAATGACATAATTTGGAGTCAAGTACAAGGGGCAAACAAAATAAAGGTTGACTGACTAAGGGATTCATGAGATAAAGAAGGAAGTGTTGATAATTACTCTGAGATGTATGGAGGTTCTGCATGGCCCACCTGACTCTATGGCAGGATATGACATTAATAAAGATTCATTAAAAATAATAGATAAAGTTAAGAGTTGATTTCCTGCCCTTTCTATTTTGTCAATGGTTGTGACATTTTTTATTGTCATTTTTGTAGACCATGCAGTAATGAGATAATATTACAGTACTGTATTCCAAACAAATGTCAAAAAACATTGTTGTACAATAACAGAATTCTTAGACAATTAAGATTTGCAAATATTTTTGTACAGTACTGTAGTACTTTGCAACTATAATTTGTTAGTGCAAAGTAATATACTGTACATCTCCACTGATAGTTTTGTTTGGTTATTTAAAACCCAACTTGACAAGGTGGGAGAGTGAAGGCAATAAAGTAAAGTGCCAGCCACACTGCCACCTTGTGTGCCAAAGGCTTGGTACTGTACCAGGTATATGGTGTGCTGCATCCACACTGTACTTGGGGCAGTCATACCTATGGGACCCACTTTCACTTTTCCACTTAAAACACGTTAGCTGTGGAAAAATGGCAAAACTTTTAATTTACAAGGTAAAGTATACAGTAAAGATAAAGATAAATATTTTAATGATACATTATAGTGATATGAGAAGTTTTAGTGATACATAACACCAAATATTGAATAATAACATCCCTTGTGATGTGAATTAGCATTGTAATGTTAAGAGGTACACTAAGTTGTCTACACTGAAGAATCATTATTCATATTACTCCAAGATCCTAAATTTACTATGGACATCATTTAAACTGTATGAAAATTTTTTAATACAGTACTAATAAAATATAATATAAAAACCCTGAATATATGAAAACTATAAACAATACAGTAGATTTGTGTGCAATGGTTATTGCTGTTGCTTCTTTTACACCAACCCAACCAGATACCCTGTACAGTATTGTTAGTGTTTCCCATACACCAAATTAGTATTTCTTATTGCTTCTCATACACCAAATTAAACTCAATATGCTACATGTAAATACTTATATAACCAAATCACAACTACAGAATACAGTAAGGTCCTGTACAGTAGAGTACTGTATACGATATCAATAATCTTGTACTTACCATCACTTTTTTATAAACTTATGGATACCATTAACAATGATATTGCTAATGCCATATATATATATATATATATATATATATATATATATATATATATATATATATATATATATATATATATATATATATATATATATATATATATATATATATATATATATATATATATATATATATATATATATATATCCCTCCCTCAATATACGAACAGATTAGGTTCCTGAAAACCATTCATTAAGTGAATTTTCGTATCAAATAAAAAACATATGGGTAAAATAGGGTTCGGTTCCCCAATAACAAGAAAACCCCCAAAACATGAAACCGGTTCAGAAACAAGAACAGCCAACCAAACTAATGATAAATAGTACTGTACACAATTACTGTACATACTCTACTTTACTACCTAAAATATGTAATTACCTGTACTACCTAACACATGAAATTAAAATTACAATCCTGTATAAATTATGGGAGGGCAGTGTGGGTTCACCCACCACAAAGGGGTGGACTGAGTAAGGGCCTTACTCAGTGAGATGAGGAGGGTTGTCCACCTCAACACTGCCATCTGCCAAGGACACCACAGTCCTCAGCCTGCTTGTAAATTGTTGCCACAGTAGAAGTAGCGAGACCAAGATCTTTCCCAATCTTGGTCGGGCCATCACCGTGTTCATGACGGCTAATTACCTCCAGCTTTGTCTCAAGAGTCACAGCTTTTAGTGGTTTCTTCAGTGTAGTTCTGGTAGCTGAAGATTCAGCAGAACAACTTGGATGCCATAATGAAAAGATGGCAAGAATACACACAGATAAAGAAAATCACTTCACATACACAGCAAATGGAGGGTAAAATGACGCAGGCTTGTAGGAGATGCGAGGAGGAAGGGGTATGATCAGCAAACTAGAATACATGTCTGAGGATCTCTTCCAGGTGCGTGAAATTTGAAATTTGGCCCGGGCCCAAATTCGTAAAAGAGGGAGAAATTTTTGTAACTCAAAATAGTGGTGCAAATTTTGGAAATTTGTATAATTGAATTTTTGTATCTCAAATGTTCGTATATCGAAGGATATATATATATATACAGTCAACCCTCACTTTACGCGGTTAATTCAACCCACAGGGTACCGCGGAAAGTGAGAAACGCTTAAAGTGAACAACATAACATATGGGATTAATTGAAATAGAGACCGGGCTGACCCCCAAACTCCACTTTTTCAGACACAATACCTATGTTGTAGTAAAAATAACTTCTTAAATTTATGATGGTATGCACACACAATTAATAATTAAGAGAAATATCAATAATATTAGGCTTTTTAACACTTACATTAGTAGAAAAGATGGCTGGGCACACGGGGATCGGGGGGTTGGTTCCGAGGCAGAGGGCAGATTATTGGCCCACACCTGTATCACTTGTATCACTTGTATCACTATCCATCACAGAGGCTTGCAGGGCCTCTTTGTCAAACCCCTCAAAGTCCATATCCTCACTAATTATCACTATCACTGACTTGGGCCGGCTGTGGTGGGTGGCGGGTGAAGAACTCGGCTTGATGATCACATTTAGGCGCACTGCTCGAGTGGCCGCTTACACAACATGGGCGTGGAGAGGGCGGAGGTTTGATCCGCAATGGCGCTGCCCGCCAGCCGCTTCCTGCCAGAAGGGGTATGACGCTGCCAGAATGTGAGACCCGGTTTTGGGCAGGCACCATGAACGTGGGAAACGCTGGGAATGGGACCGCGTAGCTATATTTATATATATATATATATATATATATATATATATATATATATATATATATATATATATATATATATATATATATATATATATATATATATATATATATATATATATATATATATATATATATATATATATATATATATATTATATATATATATATAGTACTCGTTAATCTAACCAATGTCAGAAGGTCGTTTGTTAACTGTAAACCATTGTTTCAGTGGGTTTTGGATTGTTCCGCTCAATTTAATCTAATAAAAATGGTAGAAAAGTTCACTTACTTTGATATGTAGAAGGCTCCTGGATGATGATGATGGGATTTAGAATGAGGGTGGAGAAGGAAGAAGAGAAGGCATTGGGTGAAGAGAAGTCACCTGCATGCCTATTTCACCCATAAAATTTTAGCCTTGGTGTAATTCAAGATTATTTTTTAATCAACACTGCACTGCATTATATATTGTCAATATGTAAAATATATTTCAAATGACCAATAATTTGCTTGAAACACAGAAAAAAAAGGTATAGTTGAAGAGAGTCTCAACAAGATGTTACCCAGTGAAAACAGAGAGAGACTAACTCCTGCTGTGATGAGAGGCTGGATGCCGCGCATTAAACTAGTCACTTTTTTTACTGTTCTAATAATTGTTAAAATGACTATGAATATTAAAATTCTTTAAAATTATTGAATATATAAACTTCGATATTTACTAAAATAGTAGAATTTAAGCCCAGAACCGATTAATGTATTGGCGGACTGATACTAAAGCTGGTTGCCCGTCAGTGCAAGCTTAAAACATGTTGAGGTCAATCGTAAGAACTAGTGAACCGTAATTGAAGATCTATGGAAGGCAGTTCGTTAATCGAAATTTACATTTAACCGAGGTATTCAGTTAAACTAGGGTCACTGTGTGTGTGTGTATATATATATATATATATATATATATATATATATATATATATATATATATATATATATATATATATATATATATATATATATATATATATATATATATATATATATATATATATATATATATATATATGCTGATAAATCTGCTAGAAAGAAGAAAACACGAAGTTCCTAAGCGCTTTTGTAATTCACATCTTTGAGACACGCTAACGGCCACTTAACGCGCTGCATATACGCGGTGCCTTGCCAGCTGAACTTTCACTTAACGCTGATTTTTCCACGCAATGCCAGTGTCCGCTCGGATGCTATTTTAGATTTTGACCGCCACCCGCCCGCCTCCCTCCCGTAGCTAAGTTGTACTATTGTAAATATTCACACAGGTATGCTGAATTTCTATAATAATCAATTTATATACAAGGTGGTGATATTTTCAAGATTTCTGATGCGTTTTCACTTAACGCGGGACCTCTGGGTTCAATTGACTGCTGCTAAGTGGGGACAACTGTATATACGAAGCGCTGGGAACTTCGTGTTTTCTTTTCTTTCCTTGTATATCAGCATATACCTAGATCACGCCACACCTCACAGTGATTTATATATATATATATATATATATATATATATATATATATATATACATATATTATATATATATATATATATATATATATATATATATATATATATATATATATATATATATATATATATATATATATATATATATATATATATATATATATAGATAGAGAGAGAGAGAGAGAGAGAGAGAGAGAGAGAGTATAAGAAAGGGTTAGAGGTCTGGTAAAGCACAAGTGTACTGGGTTGTAATATTCACACAGGTATAAAGAATTTCATAATAATCAATTTACATACACAAGGTGGTGACATTAAGATTTCTGATAAAATATTTTTATAGTACTGTACCTGTAATGAGTTAAAAAATCCACAACTCAGATAACTCTTAATATTACATTATTGTATTCTAAAGTATGGCAACGTACAATCTATGTTTGGCTGGTCGTGACCAAAAGGCACAGTCAAGAAGGATAATAGTTGCTAGCTACCATTATTTTTCAGTATTATCAGATATACTGTTAACATGATGCAAATTGTGTACATAAACTACTAAAATACATCGAATACATAAAAACTTCATACAGTATACTGTACTGTATACCGTATGTACTGTATACAACACAATTTTCAGTAAATACAGAATTTCTAAAAGAATACAGTGAGTTACTCTACAGCAACAATCAAATTTTCAAATGAATGCATGTACAGTTACTGTACGTTTAGGCATTCTGATCGTGTTGCATGTGCTTTAAAATAGCTAAGTACGAAGAATTTGTAGTAACTCAGTTTTTATATATATAACAGTTACTGTGTTTATAGTGATTTGCAGAACCTTATGCATTACCTATATTATCAGCAGTTTTCAATGCATGTAAGAGTTTAACTCAAATAAAGGAAGCTATTTAGTTAACTGTCCATGGGGCCAGTTAACTACTGTACAGTATCAGTCCAGTGTCCAATCTATAAAGTTTGTGCTTTGTCAAATTAAAGGAATTTATTTTTACACAATCCTGCACATAACTGGTGTGGATATAAAGTATAGTACGTATGTATAGAATACTGTACTACAAATATTTAGATCTGTCTTGAGCCCAACATGAAAAAAATTTCATCTAAAATTTCAAATATTTTTTAAGTTTCTCAATGGACAGTGAATAATGTACATCAGAAGAGAAATATTTGTATTTTAGTTCAAAATTGGGGACAGTCTGTACCATACTTGAATTCCGAATCTGACATGAAAAGTGAATAGCTCAAGTGATGTCGTACAAAGGTGGAAGAGATGAACACAGCTGGATATTATACCTTTGGTAAACAGGATACTGTAATGGTATACCACTGAGATAAGTTTGTAGAAATGCATACAATTTTACAATTCTTCATGAAACAGTAAAGTGTTTTTTTAGTACTGTACTGTACATACCCATACTTTTTAGTCTTCATTACCTTTTCCTAAAACAATGGGGAATTTGAACCTTTTTTCCCCAGCCAAGGTGA